CAAACACGAGACCACTTCTTTCAAGCTGTGTCTTCATTGCGGGAGCAAAGGTATTTTTTGTGGCTGAAATTCTGTCGAAATCGAGATTTTTACGGTTTTTGGTGGAAATTGTGGGGGAAAACAAAACTTTTCGTTCCAAAAACTGGTCAGCTACATAGAAGGCCTGCCGGAGCTCAACCACGAGACCTCTTTTTCCATGCTGTGTCTTCATTGCGGGAGCAAAAGTATTTTCTGTGGCTAAAATTCTGTCGAAATCGAGATTTTTACCGTTTAACAAAATTTTTCGTTCCAAAAACTGGTCAGCCACATAAAATGCCTGCCGGAGCTCAGCCAGCGAGACCACAGCTTCCATGCTGTGTCTTCATTGCAAGAGCAAAGGTATTTTCTGTGGCTGAAATTCTGTCGAAATCGAGATTTTTACCGTTTTTGGTGGAAATTGTGGGGAAAACAAAACTTTTCGTTCCGAAAACTGGTCAGCTACATAAAATGCCTGCCGGAGCTCAACCACGAGACAACATGGTCCATGCTGTGTCTTCATTGCGGGAGCAAAAGTATTTTCTGTGGCTAAAATTTTGTCGAAATCGAGATTTTTACCGTTCCACATAGAAGGCCTCCCGGAGCTCAACCAGCGAGACCACAGCTTTCATGCTGTGTCTTCATTGCAAGAGCAAAGGTATTTTCTGTGGCTGAAGTTCTGTCGAAATCGAGATTTTTACCGGTTTTGGTGGAAATTGTGGGGGAAAACAAAACTTTTCGTTCCGAAAACTGGTCAGCTACATAGAAGGCCTGCCGGAGCTCAAACACGAGACCACTTCTTTCAAGCTGTGTCTTCATTGCGGGAGCAAAGGTATTTTTTGTGGCTGAAATTCTGTCGAAATCGAGATTTTTACCGTTTAACAAAACTTTTCGTTCCAAAAACTGGCCAGCCACATAGAAAGCCTGCTGGAGCTCAACCAGCGAGACCACAGCTTCCATGCTGTGTCTTCATTGCGGGAGCAAAGGTATTTTTTGTGGCTGAAATTCTGTCGAAATCGAGATTTTTACCGTTTAACAAAACTTTTCGTTCCAAAAACTGGCCAGCCACATAGAAAGCCTGCTGGAGCTCAGCCAGCGAGACCACAGCTTCCATGCTGTGTCTTCATTGCAAGAGCAAAGGTATTTTTTGTGGCTGAAATTCTGTCGAAATCGAGATTTTTACCGTTTAACAAAACTTTTCGTTCCGAAAACTGGTCAGCTACATAAAATGCCTGCCGGAGCTCAACCACGAGACAACATGGTCCATGCTGTGTCTTCATTGCGGGAGCAAAAGTATTTTCTGTGGCTAAAATTTTGTCGAAATCGAGATTTTTACCGTTCCACATAGAAGGCCTCCCGGAGCTCAACCAGCGAGACCACAGCTTTCATGCTGTGTCTTCATTGCAAGAGCAAAGGTATTTTCTGTGGCTGAAGTTCTGTCGAAATCGAGATTTTTACCGGTTTTGGTGGAAATTGTGGGGGAAAACAAAACTTTTCGTTCCGAAAACTGGTCAGCTACATAGAAGGCCTGCCGGAGCTCAAACACGAGACCACTTCTTTCAAGCTGTGTCTTCATTGCGGGAGCAAAGGTATTTTTTGTGGCTGAAATTCTGTCGAAATCGAGATTTTTACCGTTTAACAAAACTTTTCGTTCCAAAAACTGGCCAGCCACATAGAAAGCCTGCTGGAGCTCAACCAGCGAGACCACAGCTTCCATGCTGTGTCTTCATTGCGGGAGCAAAGGTATTTTTTGTGGCTGAAATTCTGTCGAAATCGAGATTTTTACCGTTTAACAAAACTTTTCGTTCCAAAAACTGGCCAGCCACATAGAAAGCCTGCTGGAGCTCAGCCAGCGAGACCACAGCTTCCATGCTGTGTCTTCATTGCAAGAGCAAAGGTATTTTTTGTGGCTGAAATTCTGTCGAAATCGAGATTTTTACCGTTTAACAAAACTTTTCGTTCCGAAAACTGGTCAGCTACATAAAATGCCTGCCGGAGCTCAACCAGCGAGACCACAGCTTCCATGCTGTGTCTTCATTGCGGGAGCAAAGGTATTTTTTGTGGCTGAAATTCTGTCGAAATCGAGATTTTTACCGTTTAACAAAACTTTTCGTTCCAAAAACTGGCCAGCCACATAGAAAGCCTGCTGGAGCTCAGCCAGCGAGACCACAGCTTCCATGCTGTGTCTTCATTGCAAGAGCAAAGGTATTTTTTGTGGCTGAAATTCTGTCGAAATCGAGATTTTTACCGTTTAAGGAGCTCAACCACGAGACAACATGGTCCATGCTGTGTCTTCATTGCGGGAGCAAAAGTATTTTCTGTGGCTAAAATTTTGTCGAAATCGAGATTTTTACCGTTCCACATAGAAGGCCTCCCGGAGCTCAACCAGCGAGACCACAGCTTTCATGCTGTGTCTTCATTGCAAGAGCAAAGGTATTTTCTGTGGCTGAAGTTCTGTCGAAATCGAGATTTTTACCGGTTTTGGTGGAAATTGTGGGGGAAAACAAAACTTTTCGTTCCGAAAACTGGTCAGCTACATAGAAGGCCTGCCGGAGCTCAAACACGAGACCACTTCTTTCAAGCTGTGTCTTCATTGCGGGAGCAAAGGTATTTTTTGTGGCTGAAATTCTGTCGAAATCGAGATTTTTACCGTTTAACAAAACTTTTCGTTCCAAAAACTGGCCAGCCACATAGAAAGCCTGCTGGAGCTCAACCAGCGAGACCACAGCTTCCATGCTGTGTCTTCATTGCAAGAGCAAAGGTATTTTCTGTGGCTGAAATTTTGTTGAAATCGAGATTTTTACTGTTTTTGGTGGAAATTGTGGGGGAAACAAAACTTTTCGTTCCAAAAACTGGTCAGCCACATGGAAGGCCTGCCGGAGCTCAAACACGAGACCACTTCTTTTAAGCTGTGTCTTCATTGCGGGAGCAAAGGTATTTTCTGTGGCTGAAATTCTGTCGAAATCGAGATTTTTACACTTTTCGTTCCGAAAACTGGTCAGCTACATAAAATGCCTGCCGGAGCTCAACCACGAGACAACATGTTCCATGCTGTGTCTTCATTGCGGGAGCAAAAGTATTTTCTATGGCTAAAATTCTGTCGAAATCGAGATTTTTACCGTTCCACATAGAAGGCCTCCCGGAGCTCAACCACGAGACAACATGTTCCATGCTGTGTCTTCATTGCGGAAGCAAAGGTATTTTTTGTGGCTGAAATTCTGTCGAAATCGAGATTTTTACGGTTTTTGGTGGAAATTGTGGGGGAAAACAAAACTTTTCGTTCCAAAAACTGGTCAGCTACATAGAAGGCCTGCCGGAGCTCAACCACGAGACCTCTTTTTCCATGCTGTGTCTTCATTGCGGGAGCAAAAGTATTTTCTGTGGCTAAAATTCTGTCGAAATCGAGATTTTTACCGTTTAACAAAATTTTTCGTTCCAAAAACTGGTCAGCCACATAAAATGCCTGCCGGAGCTCAGCCAGCGAGACCACAGCTTCCATGCTGTGTCTTCATTGCAAGAGCAAAGGTATTTTCTGTGGCTGAAATTCTGTCGAAATCGAGATTTTTACCGTTTTTGGTGGAAATTGTGGGGAAAACAAAACTTTTCGTTCCGAAAACTGGTCAGCTACATAAAATGCCTGCCGGAGCTCAACCACGAGACAACATGGTCCATGCTGTGTCTTCATTGCGGGAGCAAAAGTATTTTCTGTGGCTAAAATTTTGTCGAAATCGAGATTTTTACCGTTCCACATAGAAGGCCTCCCGGAGCTCAACCAGCGAGACCACAGCTTTCATGCTGTGTCTTCATTGCAAGAGCAAAGGTATTTTCTGTGGCTGAAGTTCTGTCGAAATCGAGATTTTTACCGGTTTTGGTGGAAATTGTGGGGGAAAACAAAACTTTTCGTTCCGAAAACTGGTCAGCTACATAGAAGGCCTGCCGGAGCTCAAACACGAGACCACTTCTTTCAAGCTGTGTCTTCATTGCGGGAGCAAAGGTATTTTTTGTGGCTAAAATTCTGTCGAAATCGAGATTTTTACCGTTTAACAAAACTTTTCGTTCCAAAAACTGGCCAGCCACATAGAAAGCCTGCTGGAGCTCAACCAGCGAGACCACAGCTTCCATGCTGTGTCTTCATTGCAAGAGCAAAGGTATTTTCTGTGGCTGAAATTTTGTTGAAATCGAGATTTTTACTGTTTTTGGTGGAAATTGTGGGGGAAACAAAACTTTTCGTTCCAAAAACTGGTCAGCCACATGGAAGGCCTGCCGGAGCTCAACCAACGACAAAGCCCACGCGTTGATTTAGAGGATTTTTTGAAACGAAGTCCCCCATGACTCCGAAAATTTTTACGAAGTCCCCTTTGACCCCAGAATTGGGGTGCCTGACATTCTGAGGCTTTGGCTATTGCCACACTTCGCTCAAAAGCGCCAAAAAGCGCTTAAAAGTGCCTCAAAGCGCCCAAATTTCTTTGTTGTCTCTTCACTTTCTCGTGTGAGGAGAGATGAGAGAGTGAGGAGGGGGGTTAGAGTAGTTTGGGCGCTTTTGAGCGCTTCTGAGCGTAGTCTGGCTAGGGCCTTCAACATTCGACAAACTTTTCCAGCATAAGTGTTTATTAAGGCAACATACACGTGACACAAAAGGCATTTTGCCGACTGAGGTGAGCAAAGGATTGTAAAGGAATGTTTTGAGGTTCATCTTAATGAGAGATTTTTACCGTTTTTGGTGGAAATTGTGGGGGAAAACAAAACTTTTCGTTCCGAAAACTGGTCAGCTACATAAAATGCCTGCCGGAGCTCAACCACGAGACAACATGTTCCATGCTGTGTCTTCATTGCGGGAGCAAAAGTATTTTCTGTGGCTAAAATTCTGTCGAAATCGAGATTTTTACCGTTCCACATAGAAGGCCTCCCGGAGCTCTTAATGAGATCCATAGCAAAAAATTCTCAAAGTTCAAAAATTCGATTCATCTTTGAAAAGAAATTTAGTGACAGAAATGTACAGTCAATGGTGGCGCATCTGCAAATGACCGTCACCTTCAAAAAGTGGTCAGTGGAAAAATTTGGGCAGCTAGTGTTGCAGATCGTATTAAAGAGATCAGTATGTGAACAAAAAAAATCTCAAAATTCAAATTTTTCGAAGGATTTAGCAATTTCGATTCAGAAAGGGTGGCGAAAAAAAATGTGCTTTTTGAAAGTTTCAAAATGGTGAAAATGAGAAAACAATTAGCAAAAAATAAGAGTGTGGCAAAATGTAGAGATGTAGTGGAGATATCTTGCCTTCGTTCAGGTGCTTCAAGTCAAGAACGGATTAGCTGGACGTGCCATCAGAGCAGGGATATCCTGGCGGTAGAATGCGTTAGGAATCTGCGCCGGATTCTGGCGGAGGTTGTTGTCGATTTCCTGATTCTGCTTCATCTAAATGAGATTTTTTTGGCATAAAAATTGAGCATTAAAAAAATTCAAAACTCACCAGTCTATACTGGAAAAAAAATATAGAAGCAGCAGAACCAAATTTGTCGAAAGCGCAAAACCGTCGATGACTCCGAAAGTGGGACAATCACATTTCAAGGATGGCTGGAGTGCCTAAAAATAGAATGACAAAAAATAAATAGATCTGAAATTAGAAACTAGAAACTAGAAAATAGACTTACAATGGGTTGTTGTTGTTGGTCTGGTTTTTCGAGATATTGGGCATTGGCGACTTCGACGTTAACGGCCAAAAAGATGAGAATGAGACATTTGAAATAGCGCCACTTATACCTAAAAAGTATTAGGCTAAACCTTCATTATAGTGTTCTCGTCATACAAAGCACAGGGGAAAGATACATTTGCCGATTTGTGATTTCGATTTCTACCTAAACCTAGAGTAACCATGGAGGGAAGAATTTTTGTGCGGAGAAAGTGTGACATTTCTAATCAGCATGTCGAATAACCCCTCAGTGCGAAGTTACAGCAAATTTTGAGATGTTGACCCCCTACCGTAATCCTACCGTAACTCCACCGGATGGCGCTGTCACACGAAATAAGCATCTACTGGTGTTCAGCCTACCAAATAACGCTGGATTCCAAAGACACAATACATTAATATCACTTTGCGAAACACGCACACGAGGTACTCCCACGTTTTCAAACATCGAATATCTCAGAAGCATCGACTTGTGCCGCAGAGAATTGAAGTGCAAGATTTGCGCATTTGAAAACAGCGAAAATTCGAGAATTTGTACGACAACAGCTCAGCTCTCAACCCTTATTTTGAATTTTGCAAAACTGACGTCAACGTCAACTACTAGATGTTATCGTCGTTACGAAGATAGAATGTTTAGCAGCAGACTAAGAATTAGTAACGTAAAATGAGAAGACATGTGATGAGAGTACGTTAGAAGTGTTGATATATAATATAAATACCAAAAATGCAGCCGAGAGAGTTCTGAGCCCTAGAATAAGACTGGAAATACTGATAGACTAAAGTCAAATGCACTCTCCCTTCCATCATTCAAGAAAGATTACATAAAGTGCATAAAATTTTTGAATACGTGACCCGCTTTTTTGTTGCTTTGAAAGCCGTTAAAAGTTTATGAATGCTCAGTTCGTCACGGCTATAATATATTCAAAACAAATCATTTTCCCTGACGGCTATAATATTCAAAACAAATCATTTTCCCCTATTTTGTTTCGTAGTAGAAAGAAATTGTGAGTGTTCACTTACTTGGAACTTACCGGATCGGTTTATATGACACAAACTGTTCTATTTTACCCAACATCTTTGGTAAATTTGTGTGCTCTAATGTTATTTCTACAATTTGTGGCCACATATTACCCCTATTGTAATAGAAGTATGCGGAAAAAGCATTGAGAAGTGATCGTTAAGTACCATTTTTAGAGGTGATTTTCTTTCATCTTGAACTTTCCACTAACTTCGTTACTAGCATTAGGTGCGTGAAAAATAATAAAAAACAAATTGCGAGTGAGGAATTTTGGATCTTTCATCAAAGTTTTCGTACACGCATCGGCTGTTTGACCATCACAATGATTGAGTCCTATGTTCATCAAACGTTCTTGCTCAAACCTACGTCTTTAAGTTTCATGTCTTCTCGTAAGCAATTTTCAGTCCCACTATTTCTGACCTTTTTTCTTTGCATTTTCGGAAAGGCACCTCGCCAGAGCCCCGCCTATAGTGATTTTTACGCGCAAGTTTTATGGGCAACGTTTTGTGGACAACAAGAATGCCAAAACTATTAAATCAATGATATTTCATAATCGACAAAACACTTGTACACCACATAGAAAGAGTTGCACAGCCTAGTTGTGATGCACATAACCATACTGCGAAATCAGAAATAGTCTGATTCAGCCACCTCGACTAGCCTTGACTTCACGCGATTTGGTCATCGCGATTCAATCGCTAAAGACAAGTGTTACGAGTTCATTGCATGCTAATCTTCTTGTATCTCGGTTGTCTTGTATCTCGGTTGTGATAGTAAGTCACAATTAGTCGTGTTGGAAAACTATCACGACCGAAATGCAAGAAGATCGGCATGCAATGACAGTGTCAAAGTTTACATGTCGCGTTCATTCGCGACGACCAAATCGCGTAAATTCTGCCCGAGGCCCAATGTGGAATAGCGAGGTAAGCTAACAAATCAAACAATGAAAAATCAAATCAATAAATCAAACCCACCTTGTCTGGCTCTTGTCGTACCATCTGTCTTTCTTGTTGTTGACTTCATTCGGCTCCATTGCGAATACTTTCTGAAACGAAAGAATATTAAAAACAAAGAAGACAGAAAACACAAAGAGACGGAAAGAGAAGAAAACGAAAAGGAGCACATGACGAGACAAAAAAACGAAATTGCAATCGGCGCCACTTCGAAGGGCTCCGTGACACACATGTGATTGGAGCGTAATATCTATCAAAGCCTCTATTTTCATATTATATTTGGCTCGTAGAAAGAGCAGAGGCCATGGTTTGATTTGCTCTCTTCACCATGTACTAGATTTTCAAGCGTTTTAATCGTCCAAATCAAAAAGGTCCAAAACTTATGTGACTTCGAAATTTATGCTCCGAACCAACCCAGTTGGTTCGGTGGTTGGTTTTGAAACCAACAAATCCGGAACGGGTATTCAGACACATAAGTTTTTAGAACTTTTTACATAACATAGTTTGGAGTAATATTATATGCACATAGCCCAAATTTGGGGTCATAAGGTTGTTTGTGCGTTGTAAACAAGCCATTTGTTTGTTTGAGTCTTGCATTTGAAATTCGCGCGCTTGCGAAAGAACACGTTCAACTCGTGAAGCCTGACATGTTCGTCGTGTTTTTTGGCGCTTCCTCCTGGACCTCATAAAAACGATGTCCCCGTTGCTTCTAACTCCAAAAACGAAGTCCAGTTTGACCTCAAACCAACGCGTGCCGGGCCCTGACCAACGAGACTACAGCTTCCATGCTGGGTCTTCGTTCCGGGAGCAAAGGCTGTGCTGCTTTTGCTGCTCTGTTGCTCTTCGGATTAAGAGTTTCGTCAACATTTCACAAAACGTAGAGTTCTGACAACTATTCTAAGGAGAGTTGGCAATGTTCAGATATCATATCAAACTATCATGCAAAATGGCCAGAAGGCGGGCAAGGGAATCATTGGAATGAAGGTGGAACGTAGCTAAAGACTTGAAAAAAGAGGAAACGTAAAACGCAGTATGTTAACAGTAGAGATTGCTCCAGCTGTGAAGGCTGTGATCAAACCGAGCATACGATATTTTATCACACACAATTCCTAGCAGGCAAAGTCAAAACACGTGCCGTCATCGCATGCGGTGTAGGCTGCGATCAATAGTCAAACGCCGAGACAACCCTCTCCTCTCTAACTTGTCTGCGGTTCGGAGTACACCGCTCCTCTAAAATTCTCATGGTCTATAACCTCTGCGAGAGGGTGTGATGTCTCGCGCACTCACACTGTCAACAACTCGCCCTCCGCAACTCTGAAGGGGATCGTCAGGGTGGGTGAACCATATGTAGTTTTCGTCGTCTCGCCGGATGTTTCCAGTTTATACAGGGTGTCCCAGAAATTGTATCGAACGTTTGATCGTTAATATCTCTCTTCCCAAGAAGTCTTTTGCCTTGCATCAGGCACCGTTTTGTAGAGCTGGCTTTAACTTAGATTTGCATCATAGAACGATTCACCCATCTCTCTTCATTACTGTAGGATTACGGTAGAAACTTGAAACATATGGTGTCAATGTGGAAGAAGCTTCCGTTTCAAAATTTTTCAAAAAAGTTTGAAAACTTGTGTATTGGAGTTTTTGTGGACGCTGAGTTCAATATTCAACTATTCACAAGATTACGAAGCTTTCTAAACGGTGTAACCGCACTTTTTAGGAACATTGAAACAATGGCCGCCACCTCTTACCTAACATAACTCTTCGATGAAGCATCATAGTAAATTGGGAACTTTAAGTTAGAATCAGCAACTCCAATTAGCCTAGTGTAAAAGTTTTCAGGCTGTTTTGTTTCCTTTCTGGGGCAAAATATGGCTTTTCATTGCTTGATACCCTCTTTGAAGTTTCTACCGTAATCTTACAGTAATGAAGAGAGATGAGTGATTTGTTCTATAATGCAAATTTAAGTTGAAGCCAGCTCTACAGATTGGTATTTGAAACAATGGAAAAGACTTTTCTAGAATAGAGATATTAACGATCAAACGTTCGATACATTTTTTGGGACACCCTGTATATAAGAAGGATGAGTATAGGTCGATTTAGGCAGTAACCACCGTGAACTAGAGTTTTTAATGATAGATAAAGTAAAATCATGCGAAGTTTCCACTGTCCGAAATCTCCACACTTCCACTTCCACTCCACTTATATATCTGGTGATTGAAGATGTGAGCAAATGCGACTTCATAGACTTTGAAGGGTAGGTTGCTTCACCAGACTGTGAAAAAATCAGGTTGATTAAAGCAATGGCCGCCAAGAACGAGAATTTATAAAAATTACGCCATTTCAGATTGCTCAGTGACAGCTGACGTTTAGACTCCTATGAATCTGGAATGTGAGGGTGTGCAATGTTGCGACTTTATAGCTCTTGTAAAGTAAGGATTGCACTATCAGAGTGTGTTTCTTAGCAGTACCGATACAATGAAATGGCACCGAGATTCAGGCTTTCAATGAAACAGATTAAAAACCGCTTTTTGAATTTCAACAGCTCATAACTTCTTCAGAATTGCATGAATCATGTTGCGTCTTCATAGGTTGGATTCTCCTCTTCAAGAGCTCAGATATATAATACTAGTGACCCCCGCGACCTTGTGTGTTGCATGCCGGGGAGAATAGTAAATTCACGCCGTCTGCATCTCACGCCGTGTGCATATCTTGTCAGTCAAAACATCTAAGTTCGACGACGTGCTCCTGAGCTTTTGATCAAAAGTTGGTTAGTATACGTTGGGTTGAGTAAGACTTCGGAGCGTATGTCGTGAACGCCGCGTAGTCTGGCCCTACCCGTTCCTGCCTTATATTGTCTAGCTTTCACAAATGCAAACCGCACACTCTCTCGGCTTTCCCATGCTGAAATCAATCCTCTCTCCAATGTTCTGGTAGTGATCTTAGGGCCGCACGCATCAACGTCCCCGCCGGGGAGGAAATCGCAGCTTCAGAAGAAAGTTTCATATCCTAAAGCTTCGAATTCCCGGTTCTCGCGCTGTCTACCTATCCGTAAGTACTCCCATCGTCATTCACTATCAACATCTTGAACAGGAGCAGGAAGCTGTACAAGCCGCTTTTTCCAGCATTTTGTTTGATCTCCTGATGATCCTGGCTGCCGACCGCCTTTCTTTGGAGTTATTCTTCTTCTTTCGAAGTCAACAAAAACATTCCAAAGTTGTGCTGTTTATCTAACCCAACAGTGCTAATCATGATTCTGGTATGAACAATTGATGTTTCGAAGTCATGAATTTGCGATGAACCACAAGTCGAAAGTTGACTATTGAAAAAATCGATATTCCACAAACTTTGTTCTTATCAGCAACATGCTGAGTTGGGTTAGATAATCATACGACTTTGGAAGGTTTTCGTTAATTTTCAAGGAAGAAAAATGATTTCAAAGAAAAGACGTTTGGTCGCGGGGGATCATCCGAGGAATCATACAAAAAGCGGGAGAATGCGACTTGTCTAGCTCCTTGCTCCCCTTCAATATGTTGATAGTAAAGGATGGTGGGAATACTTATGGATAGATAACATTTGATTCAACTGGCTTGGCTCTAACAAGGCGGAGCTCCGTGACTTAAGGTTAGCTAGTGATCAGAGATCAGACCTACTACATAGAAGTACAAATTCCACATAATCATGACAATTTCCAGAGTGGCCGGCTGAGAGCCTGTGATTGTCTGACTAGGCAACTGAAATATTGCTCACAACCTGCAATTGCGTTATGCATTCGAAGCCGGTACTTACGATCGTAAGTATATCCGAGCTGTATTAATTTGTTCATGATGCGATCCCACGCGTCCGCCTTTTTGTCTCTCATGTGATAATCATCGCGGGTGCGATCCCAGAGACATGGCTCGTCTTCCATGAGAGAGGCGAGAGTCTCGCAAAATTGAACGGGCATTTTCCTATATCAAGCATTCATGTTGTTATAGATGAGATAGTGTATTACAAATTGAGCAGAAAGGAAACATAACATGCTTGCATGGATCTGAACACAAAGCAACGATTGCTAGAAGAACGAGTTTGTGAATAACTCGTTGATATCATTAGCTCCAGCTTCGTAGAGAAAGATCGACCGACTAAAAGCAAACCCGACTAAAAGGAAACCTCCTTTGATAATAAATTACATCACGCAGCATAGTATAACAGAAACAAGAACGGAAGCCTAGTCAAAGAAATTATATTTATAAAGGAGCTGCTTACACAACAACATAGAGGAGAAGAGCAAAAGAGCAGGGATGAAAGGATAAAAACGTTACGAGCATCCCGTTAGTGCTTATAAGTCAATCCTACGCGCCTCACGGACAAAATCCGACCCTATGCGCTTTGGCTGCAATAGCGGCAACCGGCGCGAAAGCAGCTACCGGCTGCAAAAGCAACAACCGGCGCGGTCTGGAGGCTCCCTAGCGATGTAAATCTCGCTGTTCATTGGCCGACTTATGTTGATACCAGGGTCAAGCTTGTGATGCGACTGTTGCAACGGGGGGTCTAAAGAGGGTACCTAAGGTGGGGAGGGGGTCGTAAGAGAAGGTAATTAGGCTAAAATACCCTAAGCTCAAAAGGGAATTAAAAAGCAGATAATTATTTATGTTTTTCACAATAAATCTATAAAAAAGTGGAAATCAGAATGAAAAAGATCAAAAATCTGTAGAAATTTTCAAAAAAAAACATTTACAAGAGCTCAAAACACTTTTGAAGGATGTATAATTCGATAAAAATGCCAAATGTACCGATTGCCTTAGAAATCTTGCTTCTGAAGCATTCCTGAAATCTCACACACTCGACAAAAACGAATATCTTTACCAGCTGTGACACTCATAAATTTTTAAATCTTTTTGTAATGTTTTTCACGGGCCCATATGATTTATCTGTACTTTGGAGATGTATCGCTACATCACTGCAAAGTTTGGTGTTATTCTGTCAACTGTGGATTTTCTTATGATTTTATGTATGGTAGCAAAAAATTTGGTAAGGGGGGTCGTATCTGGGTCGCATCTAAACTTCGGGCTATTGAAGCTTGTTGGCTGCAATTCTGCTGTAATATGAGGCCATCCTTCTACTTT